CTTCCTTCCTTCCTTCCTTCCTTCCTTCCTTCCTTCCTTCCTTCCTTCCTTTCTTCCTTCCTTTCTTTCTCTTTTTTGGTGGCAGGAGAAACGGAGTGGTAAAAGAGTTCCAAGCTTGTGAATCCACAAAAGGAAATTCCTCGTGTTGAAATGCTTTCCTCCAGTGACACAGATGGGCAACTACTCAGGGTCTTACAGTCTTCAAGAATTGCCCAGGTTACAGAGAATTTAAGGGACTTGCCCCATCATTGCCAAGCTCACACATATCAGGGATAAGACTTGAACCCAAGTCTTTCTGACTTTGAGATTAACCTTCTGTCCACTTCGACCTCTCACTAATCTTCCTTAAAAAATACTTTGATCTTATTTTAGGATCTTAAATTCAGAGCTGAAAAGGACCTTAGGAGTAGTCTAGCACAGCTCCCTTATTTTACAGATAAAGAAACTGAGGCCCAGAGACATGAAGCAACTGACTGACCAAAGTCAGGCAGGTAGTAAGTGGGAGAGCCAGCGATTCGAACCCAGGTTATCTGATACCAAATCTAGAGGTCAGCTCAAAAATCTAGTGTGAAAACAACAAATTGTAAACAACTCTTCCGTCTAGTCACTGGAAAACAGATGAATAAATTATGGTATATTAATGCAGATGCAGGATGGCACAGTGGATAGGGAACTGGCCTTGGACTTAGGAAGACCAGGGTCCAGCTGGTGGCTCTGGTCCACATTGGCCATGTGACACAGCGTGTCGATCTACGCATGGCCTCCAGGGAAGCCTCTATATAAAATGAAGAGACGTGCTGATCTGCATTGATGAAGAGGATATTCCTCACCAGGAGCTCCCTATATTGACGAAATCACAGGTCTCAAAAAAAAAAAAAGTTAATGGAATGGAACGTTTTGCTGCTAGAAACACAATAAATACAAATTGTACAAAGAAATATAGAAAAATATACATAAAGTGAAGCATAGTGATAAGGCTAGGATACACACTGACTGTAACTATAACTACAACTAGAACAGACACTTACTAGCTGTATGACCCTGGGCAAGTCACTTAATCCTGTTTGCCTCAGTTTCCTCATCTGTAAAATGATCTGGAGAAGGAAATGGCAAACGACTTCAGTATCTTTGCCAAGAAAACCCCAAATAGGGTCATGAAGAGTCAGACACAACTGAAATGACTGAACAACAACAAAATAACTATAATGAATTTTTAGGTATATAATAATACCTATGTATAGACACTGACTGTAACTAGAACTATAGCAAATATATGCATGTATATATGTATATAAACTAAAACTACAACTATAACAAATATATCCATATAAATATGTATATATATGTATATGTCCTCTTCTCTCTAGTCATACAACCTTTACTCTAATTCAAGTCTTTCTCACTTCTCACATGTACTACTGCAATAGCCTCCTAATTAATCTCCCCAGCTTCTGATCTCCCCTTTCTCCATTTGATGCCTCACATGACTACCAAACAAAGAACTGAGTATGTCACTCATCTATTTCAATAGCTCCCTACTGCCTATTATATAAAGGACAAAATCCTTATCTCGAAATTCAAAGACTTCTACAATATAAATCCTACCTACCTTTAGAGCAATATTTAATGTTAATATTTAATATTATTCTCCTTCATACTTTGTGTTCTGGGTGAAATGGACTTCTAGCTTTTTTCCCAAATGGTTCCCACCACCATACCCTTTCCCCGGGTGGCTCCCTATGTCTGGAATGTACTCTGTCCTTTTCTCTACCTTGTAGATCCCCTCTCTTCCTTCAAAGCATAGCTCAGGAGCTCTGCCTCCTACATAAGACCTTTCCTGATTCCCTCCCATTGTTAGAGCTCTTTCCTTCCTGAAATGACTTTGAATACTTTCTGTGTCTTTTCCATGTACTTGTCCATGTGCACATTGCATCGCCCCATAGAATGCAAACTCCTTGAAAGCAGGGACTGTTTCACTTTTGTCTTTGTATTCCTGGACCTGGGTGTATCCTGTACCTAACAGATGCTTAATAAATGCATGTTGAATTGAAATCAATAAAACTTGAGTCAAAATATGAAGCTCTAGGGTGGAGGAGGAAGGATAGTGGAGATAGAAAAGAGAGCAGAAAGGGCATCACTGGCACTGAACTGGGGGGCTTCAGGGCTGATCTGATTCAAGACATCATTGGGGGTTCAGAAACCAGCTGGGGAGATCACTTTCCCCAAGTCTTTTTTTTTTTTGGTAAGGCAATTGGGGTTAAGTGACTTGCCCAGAGTCACACAGCTAGTACGTGACAAGTGTTTGGTCTGAGGCCGGATTTGAACTCAGGTCCTCCTGACTTCAGGGCCAGTGCTCTATCCACTGCACCACCTAGCTGCCCTTCTCCAAGTCTTACACGACAATTTGTCAAGGTTTGGCTAGGGATTGGGGGGAGAGGGGAAGAGCCTGCAGAACAGATCACAAAGGCTTACAGGATATCGCAGAACCAAAAGTTCCCTAGTTTCTCAACCACTAGTTTTCGTTTTTCTTCAAATGCAACCACAAAGACATGGGATAAGAGAATTATTTATAAATTTTGCCAAAATACCCATTTTTCCTTTTTTCCCATTTGCTCCTTTTTCTCCCTTTGCTCCTGGAATGCCAGGCAATCCATCCGATCCATTGTGTCCTGGTAACCCATTCATTCCTGGGGGTCCTAAACCAAAACACAAAATTAGTGAATATTTGTAGAATATGCAGCACTAGCTTTAAATTGGGTTGGAATTAATACAATCTTTTTATATGCATTATATAAAAAGCAGGGTAAAACCCCTAGTAAGAAAAGCTGCAGGGCCAAATCCAGGCTGTCAAAGACAATTTGAGAATAGGAGCTAGTTCCTTCTTCTTTCTTGTCCTTCCCTTCACGGGGAGCAGAAAGGAAACTGGATGCTCAGAATTGTCAGACTTCTAGTCTGGGGAAGGGGGATGGGGTGCCGAATTATTCCAGCTCCTTTCCCTTCTCTTTCCCCCACATTCTTGCTTTGTTTAAACCTGATGGAAGAATGTCCAGTGACCCTTCCCATGTTACTGGAAATTTAATGGTATCTTACCTGGTAGTCCAGGTGGGCCTAAAACAGAAAAAAAAGTATATTAGAAGGAAAATTTGTGGCAAAAGTAAAATTAATATAAAAATCAAAAAACAGCAGAGCATCTCACTCTTCCCACTTAACAAACTTCTACCCCATCCCCCTTTAAGATTTATTACTAACATTTAGCTGGTTACAATGAACAAATTGAGACCATAGCTTTTTAGAGCTCATTAAATAAATGTGTTGAAGGAATCTTACGAGCAATTCAACCATGAACCCCTTGCCAATAGAAATCAGTCTTTGCTTAAGTTTCGTCTGACAAAGAATGTTTTCTATTCTGTTCTCATAACTGATTCCATCATACAAGTGTTTATCTTTCATAAACACATACCTAAGGAGCCAATAATTATTCTGTTTAAATTATTTAGTATCCTATCAAAAGAGCTTTTCTCTATGAAGGTGATCAGGCTAATGGTAGCATAACTCAGTTCCCCAGGGATTACATTTTTAAAAATTCTTTTAAGTTGTATGAGAAAAGTTAGGATTGGTATCAGATAACAAATGACTTCCTTCTTGCATAATTGGCAAGGGATTTCAGGGATTCAGATGAGTCATTTACAAATATTCCAACAAACAAATTCTTGCTGTCACAAATAGCTATGTCTTACTTTAAATCATTCTTCTTGGGTGCTCAGGCAAGGTAATGGGATTAAAACATGAGAAATAGAAATAAATACTCCTGTTTTTTTTCAAAGACTATGTGTAATAAAAATAACCCGAGAGCTGGGAAGTTTTTTCCAAAAATTCATCTGTGTATACGTTCACTTATTTTATTCATAAAATGAGCATTTGAATTAAATTTAACTTAATTAAATTAACTTAATTAATTAATTAAAAATTACATCAAATTAAAATTCCTGCTTCATGTGTAGCTATATCCCAGGTATGGAAGGGATAAAATAGGGAACTTTTGGGTGAGAAAATTCCTTTTCTTAATACTAGGTTAGCATCTTCTCTGCAATTTATAGTCAGAGAATTTCCCAGTGTACTGAGAGGTTAAGTAACTTGCCCAGGGTCACACAGCCAGTATATGTCAAAGGTCATACTAGCCATTCTAGAGCAGAGGAAGTAGGAAAAGAGGAGAGTTCACACACACTTCATTCCCCAAAGCTCTATGCTGAAGAAGTCAATATGCCTGATTCTCCTCCCAGTCAAAGAATTCCTTCACAGTTCTTCCCTGTGTTATTGCAGTCGGTGAGAGACAGGACCGCAAATGCTCTCTTTGTGCATATGAATAGAGCTATTAGTGGCAAAAAGGGAAGTCTTCACTTTCACACAGGTATCATATCCACTTACTCACTCACCACCACAGGCCAACTCAAACCTCATATAGATTCTGAGGTTAAACCTATCTAATACTAAGACAAATGGGTCATTCAGCCATTCCAGGCAAATAACTAATGGGGGGGGGACGGGGAAGGAACAGTGTACATCCAAGAAATGAGTTTTTTTTTTGTTTTTTATTTTTGTTTTTTGAAATCAGTTGTTTTAATGAATTGACTGATGAATGCATTTAAACTGGTCAAGATACTCTAAACTCATAGCCATACATCTCCACCGAGGTATCCCACTCACCCCTGAAGCGCCATGATATTTGGGTCTACACCTACCACTACATGGTGGCTAGAGTATAGCTCTTAGAGTCAGGAAGACCTACGTTCAAATCCTGCCTCTGACATTTTCCTGTATGACCTTGGGCAAGTCACTAGACCTTTTTGAGTTTCCACATTTGTAAAATGGAGATAATAATAGTTATATATACATATATATGTATATATGTGTATGTATGTATATATAAATACCTACTTCTTTGGGTTAGTGTGAGGCTCAAATGTCTGTAAAGGGCCTTGCAAACTTTTTTTAAAGTGCCAAATAAAAGTAAATACCACTTATTATCTCCAACATTAAGCTGTTTTTGCTTTCTCTCCCCCACAGCTAGAGGTCTGGTATAAACTCTGTGCAGTGGTATAGTGCAGAGGTAGGCAACCCTCTTTCCAAACCTAGGTCCAAATCCTACCAATGGCATATACTGGTTGTGTGACCTTGCAAAAATCATGTAACCTGTAGGCAGTTCTTACAGCTATGAACTATAGAGAGGGTATTGCCCAGCATTTATGGAGGGAATTTTCCTCACCTGGGAGTTTTCCTATGCCAATTAAGTCACAGATCCCCTCCCTATTTCTGATGTCCATTATTTTATTTGACTCTCAAGGAAGCTCTGTGAATGACAATCCACCTCAAGTCATTTTATTGCATTTTAACTTTTATTTTTCCCAGTTGTTCTGTCATCATGTAGATGAGAATCATACAGAGACAGGGAGTTCAGAAAGGTCTGAGTACACAGGGTCGCTTCCCTAGCTAAGGCATCTGAAAATTAAGTCCATTTTGTGCCATATCCACATAAAGGGTAGGTGAACTTATGAGCCTGTCTTAAAAAGTCCATCCTCCACTATGTTCTAAGTTAGTCCATACAATAAATTTCTGGGGGCCTAGGAGAATCTGTGTTAGAGGACAATCAGAAATAGGAAAATAAATATCTGGGATTAGGTCTTGGGTATGCACAAGGTTTTGGAAAGTTCACCCTGAGAATAGACCAAAGAAGAACTGGTTAGCTAGCTAATAGTTCCAACTATGAACACAAATAGTTGTTACAAATTATAGAATTGATATAGATTTATATTTATAGAATTTACAATTATCTATTAATGTAGAAATTATGCCTACTAAATTATAAACGAATTATAGTCCCTACCAGTCTAGTAGGGGAAACTATAGGGATGATGCTGTGATCCTATGATCTGTGTAATACCTCCTAAGCACAGGGGTGGGGAACCTGGGGCCTCAAGGCCATGTGTGGCCCTCTAGGTCCTTGAATGTGGCCTTTTGACTGAGTCTAAGTTTTACAGAACAAATCCTTTTATTAAGGGGATTTGTTCCGTGAAGTTAGGATTCAGTAGAAGGGCAGCACTTGAGGACCTAGAAGGCCACGTGTGGCCTCTAGGCTGCAGGTTCCCTACCCCTGTCCTAAGGCTTCTATCTAACCCTAATTCCTGATTTTTGGGAAGTTTTTTCAGGTTTTTTCTTTTTTCAATTTCTACCTATTGTTCCTCATTCTGCCCTCTGGCCCTTAGCAGAAAAGCTTAATTGTCTGCTTGACAGCCCTCCAAAAACCTAAAGACAACCAACATGAGCCACACCTTGTCTTCTCTTCCTTAGGCTAAACATCCCCAGTTCCTTCAACTGATGCTTGTATGGCATAATTTCGAGTCTCCTCTCCATCTGGGTCACCCTCCATCTGGAAGCTCTCCATTGTGCTGACGTCCTTACTAAAGCATGGCACTCAGAACCTAATCTATTAGTCGAGATGTTGTTGGCCCAGGGCAGAGCACAGCAGAACTCTCACTCCTCGGAGTTTCTAGGCACTTACTGCATCCATGTAACTTGAGCCTGTGCCATAGCCAACTAGACACATGTACTTGCCTCGTGGTGGACGCCACACCAACGTCAGTATCTTTTCTTATCTCCGTAGCAACCATTGACAGAGACCCAAGGGAAGGGAAAGGAGCAGGATCTGCATTCACAGCTAACCGGACCCATGTCAAGCTACAACGACCTGCCCTGGTAAAGATAATTTCTGGTTCAAAGTCTGGACTTACTCTCCCTCCCTAACCCTTGACCCCAAATTCGGCCATCTCCTTGCTATGGCTTCTTCAGCCTCAGCAACCTAACAAATGAATGTTGGGTTTGGATTCAGAGAATCTGGGTTCAAATCTCTGCTCTGACACTGGTTCCCAGTGTGACTTTAGGCAAGTCCTTAACCTTTTTGGGGAAGACTTACATTATGTAGACCTCAGTTTCTTAATCTGTAAAATGAAGAGGTTGGGCTCAATGACCTCAGGTTTATTCTTCTTTATGGTTCCCACGTACCCATCTGACACAGCTGGACCTGCTCACAGGTCCTATGAGTCGACTCCATCTCCACAACATGCCAGGCTATCAAAGACTCCCACCCTGAAACCCTAGAGATTGGGTCAGTTCTGAGGCATCTGGCATCCACTCATCTCTCAAATTTGTACTTTGCATAGCTAAGTTTTAATTACAGAGCTTTCCAAGTAAAATCAGGCCCATTTTCAAGGCAAAGGGGAAAGCAGAAAGAGCCTGCTTTTTCACAGCATTTTGAGGTGCCAAGTATTAACAACCTCAACCAATTTCCAGCAAAGATATGATTCCTCTTCCCCACCCCCTTGCACAATCACAATTCAGCTCTAAGTGTTCTCAATAGCCTCATCACACAGCATTCACTGCTTAGCACAGAAGACATCTTATCATCATAAAATAAATTGGGAAAACGGCTTTTCTCTTTCAGCAGCGATTTTGTGCTTGTAATTTCACTTATCCACTCATTTCTTTAGTACCCATCATGGTCACATGCCAAGGCAGGGAATGGAAGATATTCAAGCTACAGAATCTTAGGGTAAAAAAAGAAAAGAAAAACAGATATTTTCCCCCAAAGATGTTTATTGTGCAGCTTGAAATTGCATTCGATTAGATCAATTAATATTTATTGAGCAGCCTCCATGGTCAATCAATCAATAATCAATAAACATTTATTAAATGCCTACTATGTGTCAACAATTAGTAGGGCAAGATAAAATGAATGGGAAATACATTAGCTTCTGATCTGCTCAGTGAACCAACTACCTTGCCAAAGTAGAATGTAAGCTTCCTGAACTCCAGGCTTTCTTTTGTATTCTTAAAGTCAATTATATCACTTCACTAAGTGTTGGTTTGGGAATTAGAGGAACTGGGTAAAAGTTCTGGTTCTACTCAAATCACCTCTCTGAGCCTCAGTTTCCTCAAATATAAAATGAGAAGGGTTAGCCTGGTTGACTTTTATGGGCAAACTTTTAAAGCTTTAAATGTATGATTCTAGGCCCTTAATAAAAGCTCGTTGGGGCAGCTAGGTAGCACAGTGGACAGAGCACTGGCATTGGAATCAGGAAGAACTATGTTCAATTCTGGCCTCAGACACTTATTAGCAGTGTGACCCTGGACAAGTCACTTAGCTCTGCTTTAAAAAATAAAAGCTTGTTGATGAATTGGATAATTTTTTACCTGTTTATCAACCTAACAAACCAAGGTAATTCAGATTTATCCTGTAAACAATACAGTAACTACACTTAAGCTTACCAAGTGTTGCTTAGTGGTGTTTCTGCCATGATGAACACATAAGCATGATCTTAACTCTAGTGTAAGCTCCTAAAGACAAGGATCATGTTTTCTCCTTCTTTTGTACCTCATCAGTCCAAGGCTTTGCCCTTGCAATCCCTATTCCCCTACCCACCTCCAATTTATAGGACTATAGAATAATAGATAATAGAGCTGGAAATGACCTCAGAGGTCATCAGAGTCCAATTATTTTACAGATGAGGAAACTCAGGGCCAGGGTCATATAGCCACTAAGTATCTCAGACAGAATTTGAACTCAGGTCTTCCTAACTCCAGTGATCTATCTGTTGCACCAATGTAGCTACAGTGAATCAAGATGGCAGCTGGCTGGGCAGAAAGAGGTAGCTATCACCAGCTGATGAAAAATCCCCCTCCCTCCAAAAAAACCCTAAGGCACACATATAGACAGACATTACTTCAGTCACTAAACATTAACATTTTTATACTATTCTAGGTGTTTATAACATTTTGTGTGTGGTGAACTCCTTTGGAAGTCTGATAAAGTCCATAGTCAATCAATCAATAATCAATAAACATTTATTAAATGCCTACTATGTGCCAACAATTAGTAGGGCAAGATAAAATGAATGGGAAATACATTAGCTTCTGATCTGCTCAGTGAACCAACTGCCTTTTCAGAATAATACACTTTTTTCAGAATAATATATTTTTAAAAATTTGTAATAGAAGGAAATGATAAATTCCAGGTATAGGTTAGTGAAAATAAAGATTTTTTTTCCCATCCAAGTTCACAGACCCCCTAAAATCTATCCACAGATCCCTGGAAGGGTGAGGTTGGTGCATGGATGCCAGGTTAAGAACTCCTGTTCTTGACTCCAAAAGGGAATAAAAATACTATCATAGAGTTTCTGCCCTTAAGAAATTGACAGTATGGTTGGGGGAGGGGGGAGGAGGAGGAAGATGAAAAATAAGATAATGTGTAAAATAACTATGGTGCAAGGTAGAATGTGATTAATGCTATGAGAGAAGTATAAATGTCTTGGGAGCTCAGAAGAAGAAGAAGCTTCCTCTTGCTGGAGAGATCACAGTGAGGCCCATGTAGAGAAGAAGGTAAGGTGTGAGCTGGACCTTGAAGGCTGGGTAGGATCTGACTCATGTGTGGAGTTGGGGAGAGGAAGGGAGAAGGGGAGGAGAAGGGACAGCCAATTCCATGTAGTGGGAATTGCACAAGCAAAGGCCTTAGAGGCAGAAAAGCACATACTGAGCAACAAATAGTTTGAGTTTGGATGGAGTATTTGTTGTTTAGCCTTTCTTCAGACATGTCTGACTCTTCATGACCCTTTTTTTGGGTTTTCTTGGCAAAGATACTGGAATGGTTTGCCATTTCCTTCTCCAGTTCATTTTACAGATGAGAAAACTGAGGTAAACAGGGTTAAGTGATTTGCCCAGTGTCACGCAGCTAGGAAATATCTGAGGCTGAAATTGAACTCAGGTCTTCCTGACTCCAGGCCCAACACTCTATCCACTGTGCCACCTAGCTGCTCCATGGATGGAACATGGGGTTTGTGAAAGGGTACTTTGGGAGATGAGGGAAGACAGGTTCAGAGCCATGCTATTGAAAGCCTTGAATGTCAGACTAAGAAGCCTAGACTTTATTTTGCATGTATTGGAAAGTCACTGGAAATTACTGAATAAGAGGAATGACAGGATAGAGTTGTACTTCAGGACAATTAACCTGGCAATGGATCATAGAAGGATTGGAGCTGAGAGAAACTGGAGGTAGAGAGTCCAAGTAGGAGGCCCTTACAGTGGTTCAGGAAAGAGGTAAAAGAGGGAGATGGTGGCAGTGGAAATGGAATAGAAGGGATGGATGCAAAAGATATTTGTGGGGTAGAAGCAAGAGGACTCCATAACTGATTAGATAATCACATTATCTAATCATATGAGATATAATCTAATCCGATAATCATCTCTTACACTTTTATAGTGCTGTAAGGTTTCTAATGTTTTCTTGTGAGCTAGATAGTACAGGTATCATTATCTCCATTTTACAGGTAGAACAAACTGAGTCCTGAAGAGGTTACGTGATTTACCCAGGGGTACACAGGTAGTCAATATCTGGAAAGCACTCAAACCCAGATCTCCCTGACTCCAATTTCAGCACTCTCTTGACTATTGGCATTCATATGTATAGAGGTAATATTGAAGCTGTGAGAGTAGATGAGGTCAGAAAGGGAGCATCCTTTATTCAAAGAGCAGAGGGATCAGGGAAAGGAACAGAGGTGAGGTCAAAGGAATAGAAAAAGGTCCAGAAAAATGGGTTTCATCAGGTATAATCCCCATGACTATTACATCCCCTCCCATCCTCCCTTCTTCCAAGGTTGTGCTATCCCTTTGTGACCTCTTCACCTAACTGGCACTTTTCTTCATTTTCATTTTAACCTTATTTGTGCAAAAATGATGGGAACTAGGCTGGAATTTCACTTGTTCCACTTATCCTAGGGGAGGCCTTGGTCTTAGCATAGGCCTGGCCAATGGCAGGGTGGGTTTGGTTTTTTTTTTTGGATTGACCTGTTAGGTTAGACCCAACCTAAGTAGTGTTAACCTTGACTTTTACTGTTGTTTTGTACATCGTGCATACAGAAATGATGTTCGCTTTAATAAGTTTGAAAGGCATTCTTCCTCCTGAGTTGGTAAACATTGCTTTTGACATCTCATTTATGCTGTTAGTTTGTTAGTAAGGTTCTTTTGCTTAGTACTAAGGCAAAAGTCCATGGCTCTGTTCAAATTATTGCAAGTTTTTAATTTATTGTCAGGATTAATAGTCTCTTACTGTAACTAAATCCCCTTGAAGTATGCGTTTCAGTATCAATACTGCAAATGTTGTGACATTTTATAGTGACTTTCCATATTAGGATTTTTCCCCCAATTACATAATATCTCTGAAAGTAAACTAAAATGTCATTTTCAGAATGATTCTTTCTTTTCTCCCAGTAATAATTCTGCCACTGGGAATTCTACTAGTGTGCATTTTTGACATATAAGACAGAACAGTTTACTGACTCTGCAATCATACCTGTTAAGCAGATTCCTTTGGTGCTGTTACATAAATCCAGCATCACTCGAACCTAAAAGTATAAAAAGAATGAAATTAACCACAAAATACAAGATAGTGAGCTCTGGACTGGAAAAAAAAAAGATTACTGGTTCTCCTTTTATTCTAAAATGACTAACAAGAAGAAAGATAGTAGAGAAAATATTCGGCAATGTTAGTGGAATTTGCAAAGTTAAACATTGGGTAAAATGTGTGAACTTTTAAAAATCCTTAAAATAACAGGCAGGGAAGGTTTGTTAGGGAACTGAAGAAGCAATCAGCTTGGGTTTTTAAATTTCTATTGTATTCTTTTGGAATAAAGAAAGTTGCCTGAGGTTTTATTAAATCTGGACTTGTCACTGACGAAATACGGTGTTTTACAGTTAGAAGTGACCTTAGAGGTTACGAGGTTCAGCCCCTCCGTTTTACAAATGAGGAAAATGAGTCTAGAGATGGCAAATGATTTAGTGCATGTTATATAATAATCTGGTGCTTGACTTATTCATCCCATGGTCATCAAGTCCAGCTGCAACCTTCAGACACCACACTTCTATTAACAGAGTGGCTTGTAAGAGTTAAGCCAACTTTCAATGGTGCATGTTGGATTAGAAAGGGTTAACACTTAAGTTGACAGTTGTTACTCAGTGTAATTATAGGTGAAAGATTATACTGGTCCAAGAAAAAACAGGATTTTCTACCCGTGGGGTTCATCAACAGGCTTGTGTGTGCTCATATATGTGAAGAGTTGAATTCTATTTGTGATATGCTTAGACAAGGACTATGCATCATTTAGTCCAGTTCAATTGACTCTAACAAGCAGGAGGAAGAATATTATTCTATCTCCAATTCTGAGGCTCATAGACTGATGGTACAGTGAAAAGAGCAATGGAATTGGAGTCAGAGAACCTGGGTTCAAACACTGGATTTGCCACCTGTATGACATTGGCCAAATCACTTAAACTTTAAGGGGTTCAGTTTTCTTATCTGTAGAATGAGGGGTTCAACTAGATGATGCCCAAGGCCCTTTCTAGCTCTAAATCTATCATCCTATATATTTTAGCTCATGGTATTCAAACCACTTGAAATGAACTCCCTTCTCTCTGTTAATCCATGGCTATTGTGTCTTTTGTATGAGATCAGAATTTACCTATGCCAAGAAACCTTTGCTGATTAATCCAATTCTACCTTCATTAAGATCATCTTTTTGTCTCTCCCTTCCTCCTTCCCCCTTTCTCTCTTCTCTGTCTCTGTGTGTCTCTCTTTCCTCTCTCTCTGTCTCTCTCTCCCCCTCCTGAATTCTCTTGATTACTTGTGTAATCCAGAATCCTCAAGATGGCAGGACAAAATGAACGCACAAATGGAAGGGAAAAGCTAAGAAGAGACTAAACCCAGCTAGTTGTAGCTTAGATTTAAACTCCTCTAAAATGCTACCTATGGGCAGCTAGGTGGTGCAGTGGATAGAGTGCCAGGCCTGAAGTCAGGAGGACCTGAGTTCAAATCTGGCCTCAGGCACTTAGTAGCTGTGTGACCCTGGGCAAGTCACTTAACCCTGTTTGCCTCGATTCCTCATTTGTAAAATGACCTGGAGAAGGAAATGGCAAACGATTCCAGTATCTTTGCCAAGAAAACCCTAAATGGGGCCATGGAGAGTTGGACACAACTGAAATGACTCAAAAACAACAACAATAAAATGCTACCTGCCTGAAACTCACAGACAAAAGCCAAAAAAGTCTCATCTCAGATGTCTCTTTAAAAGATTCTTCATATATTAATTATAGTTATTGAGTATAATAAGATAGGGAAATGGAATCTACCTGCTGGCTAATCCCAGGGTAAAACCAGTCAAATGTATTATAGCAGGATGGGGATGGATGATGAATACAAGTTAGGTTAACTAATCTTTGTGTAGGATCAGAATTCATCTCCGCCAAGAACCTTTTGCTCATTAGCCCAATTCTACCTTCATTAAGATTCTCTCTTTATTTTTTACCCTCAATTCTCCCACTTACTTATGTAACCCAAAATCCCCAAGGAAGCCAGACATGATGAATTATTAATGCAGGACTTGTTAATAAAGCAAATTATCTAATTTGTTCAACTCGTGAGTTATTTCATAAGAACTTCAGAAATGTTTAACATCTCTGTTTTCAACTTCTAGAAATTACAGTTTTGATTTTTGGGAAAACACTACTCTGTCTTTAGACAAGGATTCAAATAGTAGCCAAGAAATTCAGAAAAATTTCTGACGTGCATTTTTTTTAAATTCAGAAGGTGTGTAACAAGCTCCTCACAGCTTCTATCAACATAATTATTTTTGAGAAGTACTTTCTAATGATGGCCAGCATTGCCTATAACAATGTTATTTATATTTCTACTTGGATTTCAATTTGGAAAGATGAACTAGTTATTTCTCATGGATTTCAGAAACATTGTGTTTTATATCTCTGTGAATTTTAGTAGAAACATTTCATTTTTCACTTCTGCTTAAAATCATCAGAGATCATTTCCTATTTTTGATTCCATCTCTTTCAAAGTAAGCTGACATGCTTTCCTTAATCTGGTTAGTGGATAGAATATTCAGGGTTGGAATACTGCTGATTTTTGTTTGTTTTTACATAATTTTCATTTCTAGATATATTCTACCGTCTCCTTCCCCGTTAGAGAACTGTCCTTAATAAGAAAGAATAAAGAAGGAGGAGGATAGATCAGCAAATTAATCAACATGTCAACAAAGTCTGATATTATTATGTACTATATTCTCCACCTGTTGTCTTCTTCCTCTGCAAAGGAGGAAGGTGCATTCTCACATTTATTCTTAGAATTTCACAATATTCAATTTTGACGGTCCTGTTGATGTATATAGTTTCCCCCCTATTTTTGTTATCATAGTCCTTGTTTATGTTCTTTTCTTGGTTCTGCTTACTTTGTATCGGTTCATTTAAGTCTTTCTGTGCTTCCCTGTGTCTGTTATTTCCTACAGGGCAGTAATATTCCATTACATTTAGGTATCACCATCTGTTTAGCCATTTTCCAATTGGGGGTATTTGCTTTGTTTCTTGTTTTTCTATTAAAAAGTGCTACTGCTATAAACATCTTGGTGTACACAAGGCATTTCTTTTCTCATTGACCTCCTTGAAGTAGAAATCTACCGGGGGGATCTCTAAGTTGAAAGTAATGTCTATTTTATTCACTTTTTTTAGCCTAATTCCAAATTAACTTGTAGTATGGTTAAACCAATTCACAGCTCCAACAACAGCATATTTATATGCTTTTTAAAGCAATTTAAATAAACAAAAAATCTCAGTAAACTGAAGGGATTAGTCTATCATGGTGTACCGGGATGGGGAACCTTAGGCCTCAAGGCCACATGTGGCCTTCTAGGTCCTTGGGTGCTGTCTTCTGACTGAGTTCAAGTTTTACAGAACAAATCCTTTTATTAAGGGGATTTGTTCTGTGAAGTTTGGATTCAGTCAAAGGGCAGCAATTGAGGACCTAGAGGGTCATATGTGACCTGGAGGCTGTAGGTTAGACTCCTGCTTAGACCCTCCCTCACTCTTCTACATCAAAACTGGTGTAGGCACTAAAATTCCTACATTTTTAGAACGATGGATGAGATTATGGACATCCTTGTCCCCAGGCAGTTTCATTCACCCTCAGTTAAGTAGACCTCTCAGGTAACCTGAACATTCTATTCCCTGGTCACATCAGTAAACAATGAAAACAGTCTATTTCGAAAACACTTGTTTTCTGGTTAATGAAGACAGTGCATTATTTTTCTCCCATTCTCTCTGATTGATGCAAACATTTGGTTAGGGTCCACTAATTTGACACCAAACAGTGTGTTGTAGTGAGTAATATCAGGGCAGCATACTATAAATAAAGGCACTCAACTAGAAAGACAGCTAGGTGGTACAGTGGATGAATTGCTGGACTTAGAATCAGGAAGACTTGAGCTCAAATCCTGCCTATGTGACTCAGGCAAGTCACTTAATTTTCAGCCTCAGTTTTCTGACCTGTGAAATGCGAATATTAAATAGCACCTACTTTCCAGGGTTGCTGTGAGAATCAAATGAGATTTACAGTACTATATAAATGTTTTGGAAGATCTGGGTTCAAATTCCAGGCCAGCTATTTACTACTTGTATGTAACTATAGGGTAGTTCAATTAATGCTTCTGGGCCTCAGTTTCCCTATCAGCAAAATAAGAGTACTGAGTTAGATCATCTTTAAGGTCCCTTCTTACTCCAAATTCTAGAAAATCCTGTGTTACTGTAACAATTGACATCGGCCTCTTTTCACAACAACCTATGAGGTGAATAAGTATCATTAGCCCCTTTACAGGTGAGGCAACTTAATTGTTTAGTCACAGCAAGCTCTGGAGATAAGATTCAAACTCAGGTCCTCTGACACAAAGTCCATCGACTTTTTTCCGCTACTTTCTGCTGATTCCTCTGCTCTAGATGGTTATGGAATCACAGATTTATTAAAGCTGGAAATGACCTTTGAGAGCTTGAGTCCAGCCTCCTCAATTTACAGAAGAGAAAACTAAGGGCTGGGGAAGTTTAAGTGACTTGCCCAGGGGTCATACTGCTCCTAAGTATTTGGGGCAAGACACATACCTAGGTGTTCCTGACCCCAATATGGAAGGGACCTGGGATCTAGGGATCTGAGAGTAGGGGTGTTCTCTTTGGCAAGATTTTTATAGTGGAAGACTCCTCCCTCCAGTTCTACTCCTTCTTCTTCAGGAGGTAGAAAGAAATATAGCTCCCAAGGTCTTTAGATCATCTAGTTCGAACTTCCATTTTATTGATGAGGAAACTGAGGCCAAGATAGGGGAAGTAAGTTACCACATTTGAGAACAAGGATCGTCTTTATTCCATCATTTTTCAGTCATTTCCAATTCTTTGTGACTCCGTTTGGGGTTTTCTTGGCAAAGATACTAGAGTGGTTTGCCATTTCCTTCTCCAGCTCATTTTACAGGTGAGGAAACTGAGGCAAACAGGGTTAAGTGACTTGCCTAGGGTCACACAGCTA